GGCTGCCCACCCCAAATCCAGCACCTCCAAATCCAACACCTCCAACTCCAGCACCTCCAACTCCAGCCCCAGTGTCCAGCTCCAGAGGGGCATCCCAGCTGGGCAGGACTGGTTGGAAACAAGGAGCGCTTATTTTTTGCTCCCCCCCAGCAAATCCCCCGAACCAAAGCTGCAGGCTGGGCTAATTTCACACCCTCATGACTCCATTTCCTCCTGTATATTTTACAGAAGCTGTGCCAGCACCCCCAGGATGGGGTGACAGCCCTTCCTTCGTCTGAAGCAGCCAAGGAGGCAGGAGATAATCGAGTGAGGGGACTGTAAAACACAATTCCTCAGCTCAGGAAAGCCCCACATTTTGGGATGGTCACATTTGGAGCCACAGGTCAAGCACTTGGCCAGTCTTACCAACATACAGACTCCTACACAAAGAAACAGGACTCTCACTTTGCTACTCCAGCATCAAGGAAAAGCTCTTTCCACCCAACTGACAAAATGGAAACGCTCTTTATCTTCCCAACGTCTCATTTTGATTTGCTTTAATTGCAGAACAGTCTGGCTGTCCAAATCATCTCCCATCATCACATTTTTTTGGGTGCTCCTTAGATGGCTCTATTATCTCCCTTTCTGGCAAAGGCAGGAATGACTGGGATTCAATTAATTGGGTCTGCTGGATGGATCATCTGTTTCCCTGATAAAAGCTGGGTACTGACAGGGAACACGGCGAGAACATTTATCTGTTCCAAAGGATCGTTCCAATGCCCTCAAAGACATTAAAGAAGGATCTGCCACAGCTGCCTGTCACGATTGATTGTTTGCAAGCTGCCCTTGTGGAGCCCTGGAAGTTTTCACCTGCTCACAGATCCTGTTTGCTCAGAGGGAGCATCTTGTACCTGCCCAGCAGCTCATCTGTCTCAGGACAGACACGGATTGCACTTTCTACTCTGGCACATCTCCCTCTTTTCCCAGGAAAGCTGAGGAGAAGGTGGTGAATTCTGACCCACCTCTGCCAGAAACACTTTTAATGCAACAGTTACTGTATTAACAAGGGACAAACATCCTTTGGCAGCTCAGCCACCTCCTCACCCTCCTTCACCAACGCTGTGTCAAGAGGGCAAAGTCAGGGGAAGATTTAGAGCTTGAATCTTCACATGACAGACCCTTTAGAACTGAATCTAGTTTAAGAAGGTCAAGTCAGCTGTTACCTTGCCAGTTTTTGTCATTAGTTCCTCCTGGAGATCCTCTGCAGCCTGGCTGTGAGTGCCAAGGTACGTGAACCGCCTCACCCCTCGCAGCCCTGACCAATGTTTGAGATGGGAGTTCCTGGGGCTCTTGTTGAGATTTCTCATTTCCCCACAGTTAATAATTAACCCCATCTCTATTTTTTTGTGTGTGTGTGCGTGTGTGTGTGCTGCTGGACAATCTGTTTTTAGTACCATCTTGCCTGGGCCATCCTTTAGCCGTATTTTATCAGCGAAACCTCCATCTCCCAGAGCTCCAGGGCTCCGAAATGCTCCGGGGTCACCCCACGGTTTTGTCCTCGCGGCGCAGTGAGTGCCAAAGGAGTGAAACAGGAGAAGGGAGAGAGCTCTGACACCACTCTGCCTCCCCTCCCAGAGGATCAAACAGTCCTCTGAAGGGCAAATTCAAAGCATCCCCAGCTTTTGAAACCTGAAGTTACTTTTTTGAGCCTTCCAAGGCTCGACCGCCGGAGTTTGGTTGCGTACGAGTCGCAGTGTCACGGAAAGAAAAAAAGAGTCAAAAAATGATGCATTTCTGGGAATCAGCAAAACACCACTCATTTTAATATGCCAGATTACACCTGAGCAGGTGTAAAAGAACTGATCTCCAGCTGGATGTGTGAGGAGACAGGAAGGCAGCTCCTACAGGCTGCATTCCCTTTAACTCCAGTGACTCACACTGCCTGGCACTATCATCTGTTAAAGCAAGAGTGAAGCAGGGATAATAGCTATTTACTAAAAACAGAGGAGCGTGATTAGCTTTAATTAGCATTGTCAAGTGACTTGAGATTGTCAGGTACAAGATGTGGGAGAGCTAAGTCTCATTAATTATGTTATTTCCTGCAGCCTTAAGTGGCTTGGCCAGTCCAGTGACGCTTCCGGAGACGGAGCTGCTCCCGACGTCCGACACATTCCCACTCCAGAGGGGGGAAAAAACACTCTCAGAAAGGCCTGGAAGATGTGGTTGTTGAGTAAAGGGTCACAGAGAAGAAGAATCAAGAAGGATCAGAGCAAGAAGAGCCGCTGGCCCTGACAAATGGGGACAAGAAGGTAAAATGACAAGGCAGAAAACAGGGAGAACCGACTGCCAAACTCCAGGGAGGATGAAGGGCCAGAGGGGGCAACAGGGAATGTGATTCAGGCCCAGGACACAGCATTTGTGGAAAACTGTATTTTTATTCCCCTAAAAGACACCAACCATAAAATGCCTTTGTTTTGGGAGACAGAAATCCAGGTCCTCAATGGGCATCACCAACACACACGGTGATTCATGGGCTAAAAGATCTGTCCTGGAGGACTCAGGAATCCTTGAGAAGGAACAGTCCATCTCTTCATGGACTAGCCTTGGCTTCTGGAAGGCAAAGGAAACCTGTACTTAGCTGATAGTTACTGTGATTAGATCTGGAAGAGAAGATCTGCAAATAAACAGGCACGGAAAAAAGGATCCTGAAGGACCAACTTACAGGTCTCTGTCAAAGAGGGGCAAAAAGAAAGCTGAGTATTCTGATTTGAGTGTGATAAATAAGACTCTGCTCCCCTGTTCTGCCTTGGACATCCTGATCAGCTTCAAAGCAGCCACGAGAACTGAATTTCTGCCTTCCAGACTCCACTCCATGACCCTTCCTGAACCCTCTGCCCCAGCTCTCCACTCCTGACCTCTAATGAAGACTCTGTTTAAGCTCAAGCAAACAAACCTCTGCCAATTAATGGCCAGAGCCCAATGAAGGCCTGGCTTTATTGGTGTCCCTTCAAGAGGCTTCCACGCACGTGGTGATGCAAGAACACCAAATAAATGGTTTTTGCTCCTCTGCAATCCTTGCAACGCTTTTGTAGTGCCCCAGCAAGATCAAGGAGCTCCCAACTTTCTAAACTGCCAGCCAGGACCTACCCAGAGTGACCAGTTCCTTAATTAAATTCTCTGTCTGCAACAGGTATTCATTCCATGAGTCAAGGAGCTTTTGAGGGAATGCAGATTTACAGGTAGGGATGTTGTCTTCCTCAACACAACCCTGGCTCAGCTACACCCACCAAGCAGCAAAGAAAGGAAATCCCTCGTTTAAAAAACCTCTGAATTTAGAGGACATGAGGGAGCTTTGCCAGTTATTCCCACCCTGGCACTGTGAGAGACACACCTGCAAAGAAAAGCTGAAAAATAATAAATAAACGAGAGGTGCACTTGACATCTTCATCAGATGAAAGCAACGTCTCTGCTCTCCCCAGAGCATTCCCAAACTCAGCTTCAAAGCACAACAATCACTTGTACATGGCCTTTCAGCAGGAGACAAGAATCAGGGATCCAGGGAGAAAAGGAAAACAGCTCTAATTCCCTGTCCCAGCCCTGCTGTTACACAGCAAACAACGTTTACAAGGAACCAGAGGCGTGGATCCAACACGACGAGATCTCTCGGAGAAAATCAGTGGGAGGGAGCGCTCTGCGAGGATGAAGTCACAGAACACATCCTTTCCAGGCAGAATCCTCTCACGGATTAGAAGTCAAGCTCCCTCGCTATCTGCTTGTTTACAACCCTCTAACTCAGCACAGGCCTCTCTGCACTGCCCAGCATAAGCTTTAAGTAACTGTAAACGCATTAGGGAGCAAATCCTCCTCTGGAGCAGGAGCAGGAGCAGGCCCCGAGGAAGGTACCGGCAGCAGGGCAGGTGTTGTGCATGTCCCTCCCTTCCCAAGTGCTGTCACCGGGCTGACAGGCCTCTGACAGGCCTTCCTCGGGCTGTATTTACACACAGAGGAAGGTGGGGGCAGGTTCACTCCAGTCAGCTGCTGCAGGATAAGGAGGAGGGTTCCGCTTCTTTTTTTTTTTTTTTTTTTTTTCCCCACCCCGTTAAAATCACGTTCGAAAGCGCAGCGTTTCAAGCCGGTTCGGCTTCAAAAACAAAGCCAGCATTAAAACCTGAAGCTACGACCCGGAGTTCCTCCTGTCACCTCAGGCTTGTGGCTCGAACCCAGAGGTTTCTGTGGAGGAGCACAAACCCCTCAGCCCGTCACCCTGCAGGGCTCTGCACAACAGGAGGCTGCTACACCCTCAGCCAGCGGCCAGAGCAGCCCAGCCGAGCTCCCCCGCGCCTGCTTTTGCTGCTCCACGAGCCCAAAGTGCCCGGGACGAGGCCGGGAATGCCCCTGTGCCACCAACCCTGTCGTGATGTCACCGCCTGCAGCGGGCAGGGCCCGGTCTCCCGGGGCTCCGGAGTGTTGGTAAATAAAGACGGAGCTGCTGCCAGGGCCGCCCCGCACCCGGGGAGGAGGCTGCGCCTCCCGGGGGTCCCATCGCGGGGGTCCCACCGCGAGAGCCTCCCGCACAGCTCCGCGCGGGGTTATTGTGCGTTTACAGCGAGATGGGCGGCGAGGAACGACCATCCCTGCTCCTCCTCCTCTTTCTGCTGCTGCTGCTCCTCGTTACCTCCCGGGGGTCCCTCCCGTCCATCCCCAGCCGGGGGGATCCCACCGACCGCTGACCGCCTCCCCCGTGCACAAAGGCGGCCGCTCGCCCCTCGCCAGCCCCGGGGGGGGTCTCCGTCAGTGCCGGTGAAGGATGCGAGGGGAGCCCCCCGGGGCCAGCGAGGTGGATGGAGGGGGGGGGGGGGGGGACGCGGCAACACACGGACAAGGCGACACACACGGACGCGGCTGTGGCGCAGCTCCGCGCAGCCACACAACCCCAGCTCGCCCCGCGGGCCGGGCCCCCCCCAGGTGCTCGGCTTCCCCCTCCCGCAGCGCCGTGCCCGCTGTCCCGGTGCCTCACTCACCGCGGCCGCCCCGAGCGCGTCCCGGCGCGGACCGAGCGCGGCGCCGCCGACGCGCACAGAGCCCTCAGCGCCGCCCCCGCCCCCCCCACACCGCTTATACCCGTCCGCGCGCCTGAGCGGCGGCGCCGCGGGCCAATCACCGCCCGCCGCCACATAGCAACACGCCGCCCATTGGCCGAGCGCGGCCGCAGCCCATTTACCGTCAGCCAATGGGAAGGCGGAGGAAGGAGGGGAGGGGGGAAGTGGGGAGGGAGGGGGAGCGGGAACGCGCCCCGCGCGCGCACGAGGGCGCGCGCGCGGCTCTTAAAGGGGCCGCGTCCCGTCCCCACGCGCGGGGATTCAGTCGGGGGGAAAGGGGGGGGGGATGCCCGAGGTGAGGGATGCTCGGGGGCCACTGCAGCACCACGCCGTGAGCCCCGGGGGTCTCGCCCTGCCCGCGTTCCCAAGGCCGGGGCTGCGGGCGCTTTCCAGTTATTTGTGACCATTCCTGCGCGCGGGTCACTGGCGTTAATAAACGGCGGTAATTAGCGGTGCCTGCTGCTGCGGAGTGGAAGCAGTTCCCACACACAGCCCGAAAATCCACTGATACTAATGCCGGCTTCTCCGGATCATAATTAACGCGAAGAATGATTGCAAAATGAAGATATCCCGTATTTCTGCTGGTAATCTCCATCAGCTCCATCGCTGGTTTTCTCCAGCGCTGATCTTGGGAATCTTATGCCCAAACACCCCAGCACAGCAGTCTGTACATCACACCCGCAGCAAACCCTGCGAAGGGCAGGGGCACAATTAAAAGCCGCCCTCTGCCAGCACCCTCATTAAGACACGAGCTCCCAGCAGCTCTGAACGAGGTAATTTGAAGGCCTTTTAGTCCCAGCTCAGCCTTTGAGTGCTAATAACAGTAATTCATCACTGTGCAAACACAGGTTTAATAAGCCCAGGCTGGGTTGGGGTGGAAAGGACCTCAAAGCTCATCCAGTTCCACCCCAGGTTGCTCCAAGCCCCATCCAACCCGGCCTTGGACACTTCCAAGGATGGGGCTTTGAATTAATGTTTCCTCTCTCCCCTTTCCTCACACCCAAGGATTTTTACATTCCTCTTATTTGCACTGAGAAAGCAGCACCGCCTGGGGGTCACTTTTGCCATGGCAGGAGTGAGAGGGGGAATATCAGGTCACTCACTGAGATGCCCTTTCAGTGCTAAATTACAAGTGGTGCTTCAAATCTCATCAAAACCTCACTTTCTCAGCACTCCCGAATTGTATTTGCAGCTGGTGTTGTCGGCCTTGCTGTTGAGATGCCTCACCTGATCCTGCCTTTCTTCTCCCTTTGTAAATTGGGAATATTTCAGGCTTTTTCAGAAACATCCTCAAGCACTTCATGTGTTTCCAGCAGTGACAGAAGTGGTTTTTCTTCCCTAACTCACAGCATCGTTATTTTTGGTCCAACCACCTGTAATTGTTCCCCCAAAAATCACCAAGACATCAGAAGTGAAGCTGTAAACCTCGCTGCCTCCAGCTGATGGCTCCTATTCCCTCCCACAGAAAAAAATTCCAGGGTTTAGAACTGGGAATTCCACCATCCCTAAAAGCCACTGTGCAGCTTACCCAGCCCCAGAAAAACTCGGGAGCTGCAGCTGAACGAGCCTTTGGTTTTAACCAGGTTTCCCCATCCCTCTGGCTGCTGGGAATTGCCGTGTGGAGCCCAGAGCTCCATGGAAATCCATCAGCAATCCACGGGGAATGCGCGGGCTGTGGCGGCCTCCTGCGGCAGGAGGGCGGTAGGGACAGACCCGGGGATTTGTTCAGGTTTGGTGGCTGGTGTGGATTTTATCCATTCTCCAGGGATTTTATCCATCCTCTCTTGCTCACACCAGTGTAGAAAAGTATATCCTGAATATTCTTGGGAATACCTGCACCTCCAGCCTTCCTGCTCTGGGTAAGAAATCCAAATTTCTTGGGTTCTGAAGATATCCTGAATCATCTGTTTGGTTTATGACAAGTTGCACAACCTGAAGGCAAAACACTTCTCATGTTAAAAGACATGTGAACACTCATTAACGCTTCCCAATCCCATCTTCTGGTTTATTAACCACTTAGAACGTGTAATAAAAAAATAAAACACCATCCCAGAGCAACCTGGGGAATCCTCTCATCACCCTGCCCAAATCCTTTGGAAGTTACTCAACACCATCACATACAAACCTGCATTTCACCTCACAGGAACCCCTCAAGGCTTCACAATTACACTTGACCTTAAAACCTAGTATTTAATGTTGTTTAATGAAAATCCAGTAGGAAAGCTGGAAATTTAGGACTAGAGGGAATGTTAACCTGCTCATCATCAGACAGGACAACACAGTGTACAGAAAATTCTGCAAGTATTAATCCTGTTAATACAAACTCAAACCAGCTCCTTTGCTGTCCCCAAATCAACCTGTCAACTCCCAGAGGCTGTTTATACTCAATAATCCATTGATTTTTTTCACTGATCATCCACAATCTTCCCATAAGTCCCCTAGAAAAGCGAGCAGGTGGAAGACACAGTGTGGGGGAGACAGAACAAGTGGCCTTAGGATACCACAGAAAGGAATAATTTAAAGGCCACAGTAAAATAATTTGAAGCCTAAATTATCAGCTATTTACTGTTTCAGAGACCAAATAGATGA